GGAGCTGGGGCTGCGGGAGCCCCGCTCTGGCCTCACCCCCACCGCGACAGGACCCTCCAAGTCCCGCGCCCCTGCAGAAGGTTCCGACACCCAGGAGACTCTGCAGCGCCGGCCTGGTCCCGGTCCTCAGCCTGGAGGAGTTGGATTAACCAGTGCCTTGGACTTGTTTTCGGCTATTATGGTCAATATATTAAAGGTATTTATTTAAGAAAGTGCCTATCCTGCCAATCTTTCCCCATGAGCTCTATTTTGAACACACCCTATAATTACTGATATTACCCTGGCAAATTTTCCCCATGAAGTTTTCTCCACTAACAGCCATGATCGTACTTGTCTGCCTCTCCACATTATAATTATCACCAGGCAATATTTATAACTACACTATTATTATTTATGATATTTTATGCCCTACGAAAACCTATATGACATATGCTCAAACTTCAGCATCTGAGACATTCAGACTTCAGCTGGGACATTCCCTTCAACTTGTGTACTTGTTCTCCTTACATTTGCACTAATAGGTTAGCTGGAGTATTTATTGTAAATACGGGAGTCCCATCAGTGAGAAACCTGCAGGACTTGGGTTAGACTCCAGCTCAACATATCTAAACCTCCCACTGTGATCTCTTTCATACTTTTTTTTCCCCAGTTGGTGCCCATTTCAGGACTTCTGATGGTTCAGGCTAGAACTGTCTATCATAGACTCTTGCTGAGGCAAGATAATTAACTAAAGGAGTGCTTAATTATTCCAGATGGACAATGGAGCATAGCACATTTATGCCTCATACAAAACATAAATAAACAGAACAGAATGAACAACACAGGTTTGCTAGTCATGGCCCAGACTTGAAATTTGGCACTGCAATGCTTACAAACAAATGTAAATATTTTACTCTCACACTTCTAAAAAAATTAAATAAAACTCTGTCTTGTAAGCACCTTTAGTTTTAATTATTTAAGATCAATACTAACCTAAATGCCTCTGTCCCTAACATGCATCTCCTCTCCAGGGTCACAGACCTTTCTTATAATGAAATCACTGGCTTTCTCCACAAATATTACTGCTAACCAGTTTCCTCGGTTTCATATGCGTAAGGGCTATAAACTAATGAGCAGATCTAGGTTATGTAGAAAAAGTGTAGAAAGGAAACAAATGTCGAACGTCACATTTACATTAACTTCTCACAGTTCAAATGGCAATTCATCCACAACATAGTATGAATCATGCAGTAAGAAAAGGGAGGAATCTCCAGTTTCTTTATTTGTCATATGGTCAAGCGATGTCAGTATCAGTGGCTTTAAACAAAAAAAAAGATCTAAACATCCAAAAGAAAGGAAGAGAGAAAGCAGGAAAAGGTCTAGCTTTCCACAAAATCCATTTCCTTTACAACGATGAGCTCAAACCAAACCAAAAGCTGCTGATGAGCAGGGTCTTCTGTTCCTTCCATGCTTGTCTCGTGGTCTGGTGCAAGCTGGGAATCAAGGATATGGGACTGGTGGATGCAGTTTGTTTATATATATATATATGTATGTAAGTATTAATATGTATATACATACATACACATATATGCACACAGATATAGTCTTCCTAAAAATGCTCTTTGCAGTCCAGAGGCAGCAGGAGTCACTGTGAAGGAAGAGCTGGGCAACATATGGCTGTAGAGTCTGCACTGGAAAAAGTCACTGGCTAAATATATGCCGGCTGTTTGTTTTCTTTTATTTTCATGAGGCGAAATACGAGCTCTGCATAGAGTACAGCCTGTCAATGGGGTTTCCTACTCTAGCCTGCATGGAGTTAACTTCGGAAGAGGCAAGAAAACAGTCGCTCAAGCTAGTTAAAGAGGTATCACTGTCGATATCATGAAAAATGGAGTCGTTTCCTGCAAATGAAACGTATATGTTAAGCTTGATTCTGTGCAGCCAGAGGAGGACACAGTACACACAGATGCTCATATGTTGCGCACTGCAGCAAAAGGGAACGCTCCTGGTTTTGTTTCTATATGTTAGTGTAGTTTTGCTCTAAGGGTCTGACCTACCAAGGAGAAGGCTAGCAACCAGCTCGCAGAGTTCAGCTGGCAGCAGTGCCACTCGAATCTGCCAGGATTTCATTTATACTTCAGTCAGCAGCACAAAAGAGAGTCTTGGCTGACGACGTGAGCAAATGGTGCCGGGGAGGAGCAGATCACTGGCTCTTCATGAAAGAGACCTTTTTGCAGGGTGCAGGGGCCACCAAGGAAGGTGGGACCAGACACTGAGAGCCCACTACAGGGAAAAGCGGTCTGAGGGTCATAACCACTAATGGTCTTCATTCACACACAAGGTCAAAGACAGATCTACAAATGCAACAGGACCCAGGAGAAGACCCAGCTTCCCTGGCCTCAAGTGAGCTACAGTTATAAACATGCTTTCGTTTCAGAAAATTCCACTCTTTTGGGGCTGGTTTGGAACAGCACCTTTTATTTCCCCTAGCAACTAAGATGTCAGCTTACTTCAACTCTCAAGGTACCAGAAAGCTCTAGCTCAAGTCCTGTGAGCACCAAGGATGTGTTAGTCCAGCTCTTATTCCTTATGCACTCATTTGAAATGTCTTTGTGCCATTTCCTGCACTGGGGTTTTGGAGCACAGAACCTGCCTCTCAAGGAGTTTTGCTTAGAAAGCCAAGCAAACAGCAACAAAATCACAAGCCATCTAACGCTCAACTGCACTTCAGATGTCCTCAGCTTCTTACAGGATAAACTAAATTGCCTGGTGTGTACCGTTGACTTGGCTCACTGGGAAAAGTAGTAACACAGACCCAAAGCAGATTTCTTGTTGGCCAGCGCATGCTGTGCTCATGAAAGTGATATGCACGTGGACCTCTACAATGAAGTGCTCCTGGTCAGCAGAAACAAGTCTGACGTAACAGGCCCTTGTGGGCTACAACAAGGCCAACAATCACAGTCTGAGAAATCCTCTTAGATTTTATTTAAATGCCACACTGCAATTGTCCAGAATCAATTATTAGGCATGTAATGCTTGTGATGTGTTTGGTACCTATTCACTTGATGGTGTGTGGTCAGGAAATCATGAGAGCAAACCATCATCTTGATTTTGGGCAGAGAATGGAATTATGCAGGAGAAATGTCCTGTGGTAACACATCTCTTAGTAGCTCATGAACTGTTCTTTAACAAATCCATGCGTCCAGTCTGAGGGATCTGAGAGGAATGCTTATTCATTCTGGAATGAATAGATTACTTCTCTTTATTAGACCACTTTTCAAGGCACTTTTTTCCCAAAGCTTCTAAGAAAAAGGAAAAACTTGTGAGGGAGCTAGAATTTGGTACTGTTTATTTTTCTACGTCTTGGACAGTGGTTTAAAAAAGTGGAGCAGGAGAGGTGATGTTGCTTGTTTTATCATTTATCAGAATTACACTGTGAAATAGTTCTGAAGGGTGTCCAGAGCCTGGGATGAGCTCTCTTCTAACACCCTTATGTGTACATAAAAATATACACACAAAACTGACTGGTACAAATTCCCTGGTACAAATCCCAGAAAAAGTATTATAAAAGCAAGTAACTCTATTGAACCTTTGGTATGTGAACCAGCATACGAACCCTGCTATTTCTGATGAGGCAGAATGATGCATGCCTTACCATAAGGGTTCATGTGGTCGCCTGGCATTTGTGGAGGGGTAAGACCCTGCTGAAATGGGTCTGTGCCATAACTGCTTTGATCCATTGCTACAATCTGCTGCTGTGGTGGTGCAAGCGGTGTGTAAGATGTCATCATCCCTTCCATTCGGTTGGACATCACTTCTGCAAAGCAAGCAGGAGGGCACAGTCACTGCTTAGGAACAAAGAGGCAGCAGACAGCAGCTTCAGTGGCAATACTGAAACCGAGCGCAGAGTGAACGCAGCTAGGCTTGTCCTGCCATTGAGAGGAGCCTTCCAAATTTTGTCTGAGAGTACAACTCTGAGCAGTAAGTTGAAAGACTTGTAATTTCTGACTGTGTCATTTCTGGAGCTCCTGGGTGCTGGACTGTATCTTCCCCAAGTCTGTCCTGTGCGTGACATGGCCCTATTATTCTCTAACTTCTGTTGGTACCAGTTTTTCTGGCTCTGCGTAGAGGAGGATTTGAGGCTGCAAGGCCTTGGGAGGTGAAGGACCTCAAGAGCCAGCCCTGGTGCCTCCGTGCGGCTCCTGCCCCAGGGTCCAGCCAGCTGCTGGGGCACGGGAGGGGCTCCCTGTGCCGTGGCTGTGGCAGTGATGCTGACGCCCTTGCAAGCAGCCTGCAGATGCCCAGCTGAGCATGGTCCTCCTTTCTTCAGGAGAAAACAAACTGGAGGACCTACCTGGAGTGAGACTCCCAGAGATTTCCTCCAGTGAAAGCGCCTCTATAGTGCACATTTCTTGTAGAAAGGGGGTAACAGCTTCTGTGTAAGCACCTCCAGGGTCTGGCCCCATGGGAGAACTCTGAGAACTCTGTTGCCACTGATGATGGCACACATTATTCACAGACTTATGCATGCCCTGTATGGCTGTACTTAAGAAATTACGTGGGAATGGCACTTCAAGAAACTTTGCAGATTGCTTTCCCCTTGCTTTGCCTTCATCGCAAATCCCCTACCTTGCCCTAGTCGCTGCGAGTTTTGTTGCTCTTGCTGCTGCTGATGCCTTCGTGCTAGTTTTTTCATCTGAATAAAAGAGGAAGAACAGAACAATCTCATGGCTCTGAATGCAATGATTTTGTTTCCTTACAAAACTCTCTGCAAACACTGAATCAATTAATACAGACCATTTATATTCATGCACACGCCACTGTGGGTTCAGTTTCATTTCTAAGCTTAAACATTTCAGTTTCCAGTTCATATCTGCATGCCAAATTTACTCCCAACGTCATGTTGCTTTGAGCACATGAACTTAATGTCTGTTTTTGAAAGTTGCTTTTCTTGTACGGATGCAGACAGTAATGCATGCAAAATATGTACAGTTCAGTCCCTGGGATCTCAGAGGTATGTACTACCTTGAGGCGGAGGGGGAAATCTGTGTTGGAAGACAATTCGTGTTTGAGAACTTGACAAACAACCTACCTTTGCTCTTTGGTTTTGAAACCAGACCTGGACAACTCGCACACTGAGTCCTGTTTCAGCTGCTAGTGTTTCTCTGACCTACAGGAGGAAATGTTTCATGATGTAATTTTTAATATTTAAAAAAAAAAATCAGTTATGTTAGGAGGAATATGCCCACACTTACAATAAAACCTGCATGTACAGAATTACTTTTTAAAATTCCTCATCTTTTTTGCAGTGTGTTCAAGTTCTGCTCTTCATGTTGCTACCAGCTTCATAACTACTGAACAAATAGTCTGAGCCATGTAAAATGACACTAAGTCATTTCATGATTTTTATTTTACCCATAAAACTGTTCTGTGCAAAAAGATACAAATTTGGCTATGAATATTTTTCATATTGCTGAGGTACAACTTCATATTTTAAAATTGCAAAAAAGCACATTGCACCGTCCCAAAAGACATACTTTGTACATCAGTAGAAGAATGTCACTTTTTGCAAAAATGACAGCTTTCAGGATGCACCTCCATTTTTTCCCAATCAAACTTAGGAGGAAACAGTTACCTGGCTGGCTTTTTGCAAAGATTTGATTTTCACCAGCTTCATCAGTGAAGCAATATGTTATACCTTTCCCTAGCTGCTACAAACAAGATCAACAGCAGGGTTAAGTTTCATAAAAAAGCCAGACTGGAAGCACAAGTAGTGGGACCAAAGCTGAGCACCCGGCTCACTAGAAAGCGACTCCCTCTGTGGTGGGAAGGGGAAGCGCAAAAGCCACTTGTTTACCTGGGCTCTGGTAGTCAAGGACTACTTCATGGTTTGTAAGAACCAAATATTGCTGTTCGGCAGGAATCAGCCATGGAGCTGCTCTGCATACTGTGGGTGAATATCCAGAAACAACAATGAGCTGATCCTAAGCTGCTGATCACTCCAGTCTGAAACGGTTATGTGGGTGAGTATCGCCATACGCTGGCCTGGTTTCTGTATTTGCTCCAAGGCACCTGCTGCTGTCCTGGGAAGGGTCTAGGGGCTGTCTGGAGCTGCCACCTGACCCTGCCACCCCCACGGCCTGGGGTCAGAGCTGACTTCAGGTCCCTGATGAAGCACATACCTTCCTACAGGGCTTGGAAGACACTTCAAAGGATGCTTTGAACGCTCGTCTCTGCTGCGTAGTAAGTATTGTCCTTGGTCGCTTAGGTCTTCTCGGGTCCTTCCCATCATCACTTCCTTTTCCTTGGGTTACTTGTCCTTTGGTGGGCTTAACGTCTCCGTCTTCATCATCACTTTTAACTGGTGAAAAACGAACAGAATATAGATTTGTAGTTGTTCCACCAAGATAACAGGGGATCTGAGAACTGCTCTTCCACTGCCAAACTAGCCAACAGGTTTGACTGTTATCCCATGTCTATCTGAATACCTAAAGCAACTGCGGGCAGGAAGAGACGATCTTAGATTTGTGTGCACTGCCTCAATCAAATGACACAAAAGCACATTAAAGTGCTGAATTTTTAATTGAGGCCATGGGACTGATCAGGGGATGGAATTTCGGAATATGCTTCAATGGTGCTACGAATCGGGCACAGAGAGACTTTGTGCCCTTCCAGCATCACTTGGTCCCCTGTGGGCTCACCTGCTGCAACCTCACCAACTGATACGCACCTCTCCCTTTGGAGCAGAGCCGCATCTTCTCCCAAAGCATTAGCTGCAGACAGGTACTACAGCCCACACCACTATGGCAGCAAAACAGTGTAAATGCAGATACTGCAAAAATATCTCAAAATCTGTTTAGCTAAATATAGTGTAGTTATTGTTCTGAATATTTTGAGCTCTAGAGATAATACTAAATACAATCTTTGCCATCTCATTTCTGCATCCCACAGAAAACATCAGTATTCTTTCTCTGTGAATTTCAGCGTGCCTATGTGTGCAGGCACAAATTTCTTTCTTGGTAAATACAAACAAATATATGTATGCTTGTGTAGACCAAACAGATTATTTGGATTTTCTATAGTTAAAATCTAAATATTCATGCAATTTGGTGATATTACGTGTGTTAGTATATGGTACTTGGAAATCTCAGTCACAGTGGCAAAGATTTAAGAGTAAGTACAAATTTTGTTGTGAAAAACAACTTTTCAACTCAGCATATTTTCTTTCACCAGACTACTGATTTTTCTTCGAGAAAACATGAATACACCATTATAGGGACTTCAGCATGAAGAAACACACCACAGTTTTTATATACTCAAAGATTACGTTTGGGGAATTAACAAATTAGACTTTAATTCATTTTAGGGTCTGATTATTATGCACCTAGCAATCTAATCACCTTTTACTTTAATAAGCATCTTTTGCCTAATGATTAAAGAGAAGTTCAGTCATTTTAATAACCATGACATTATTAACTTTCCGGCATGCCATTTCTCAGGAAAGGTTTGTGAGGATTAATATTGCTCATTGGAGAGTTACTTTTGTGTCCAGTGGATAAATATTTGATTGGAGAAGGACACATACTCAGCTAGGGCTATGTGACATCATTTGCTCTCACACAGGCATCTGGGAGATATGTGTTCTCAATGTATTAGACAATGGGAGACAAAACATCCCATTTAATTTGTCAGCTTGCTTTTCAGGTTTGGGTTTGGCTAACAGAATAATGAGGGGGAGGGGGAAAGCATCTCCAGGAGTAAGACACTACCCCTTGTGCCAAGGGGAAATGAAACCGAAACCAAGGCTGTTTTGTGCCACTGTGGTAGTTTGCTGCTGATCACAAAATACAAAATCTGGTCCTGAAGGAGAGCTCAGCCGTGCCCAAAGCAGATCCCAAACGCGGCTGGCTGGCAAATGGCAACCACCAGTGCTGGCGTGACGAGCGGGGAGGGCAGGGGATGAGGATCTCCATGCCCACCCCTGCAGCATGGGGACAGCCCCGCACACCCAGCTTCTCAAAGGGGGTTTTGTCTGGACGCAGACAGGTGGAGGGCAGGATGCTGAAGCTGGCGATGAGAACGACATGCTGAAGGGCAAGTAGGAAACTCGCATGCCTCGGGCAAATTCACAAAGAGCCCAGACCCTGCGACATGAGATTTGCAAAGCACCCGAGGCCCTGCAAATACAGTATGGTGATAAATAACATGCTGCTCCAAGAAAGGCCCTGGTCCCGCATGTCCTGCTGAGTCAGCAGTGACCTTTGTCTTGCCGCATTCCTGACACAAAAGTATAAATTTCAGCAATATGGAGAATACAGCTCTCAAATTAGAGATTAAGGATAATTACTGCTCTTAGCTAAACTGGAATAATGCATTTTCCCATAAACCAGAGGCAAACATTCATGTCATTTGTACGCTTACGGGAATGGTAATTGTTGATTTTCTTAGATGTTTTCTTGGGAAACAAGTGTGAATTATGATGGCTGGCAGCGATTTGTGTACACACTATCTCTAGTCTTTGGATCAGCCAGGGCACACTGGCAGCAGGAGGTTTCCAGTCTCCTTGAGCGTATATGGCACAGGAAGGATGCATCCCGTCTCTCCTGGAGTTGCCTGTGAGCCTGAAAGGCAGTCCTCACTGTGACCAATGCTAGATCCCCTGGGTTTTGGACTGGAGAATCCAAATGCAGTGTGTGGACTATTTGTCCTATACAGTACTGTGCTCCGAGCCCCAGACAGACAGCAAGCAGATTTTGCTCACTCTCTTTTAAAACCTTCCCTAGGAAACGGGTGGAGGAAAGTAAGTATCTGTGTCTCCATCACCATGAAGAACTTGGGGAAGACACCCATCAGCTGCTGTCAGCTATCTTCTTGGGAAGGCAAAAGCTCTGGTCGCAGCATGGAGACCCTCTGCCTAAACTCCCAGGCCAAGCGGTGCAGACTCTTGCAATCACACTGTTCAAACGCCAGGTCTCTCTGAAGAGAGAGGTCACACTGCAGATTACTGGTAGTGCATTTTACTAAGATACCGAGCCTGTCGCCCCCTGATCCTAAACAGTTTGCACTCATCAGGAAGAGTGCAGGACCTCAAAAACACTCTTGGACATCTGTAACAAGCAAACTTTGCACGCCTCACTTCTGTACTGTATGTAGCACACAACTCACAGTGCAGCTATCCTTGGGTCAACACAAAGATGATCTCTTAGGCTGAAACCAGAATGGGGCTTTGACACAAAACAGCAGGTAGACAGCAGAGAAACTAGAGCCTTAGCAGCACAGAAGAGACATACTGCCAGGGAGAAGTCTGGATGAAGTCAGGAGAGCCAAGCATTGCAGCTGGCTTGAAAGCATCCAGAGACAGACTTCCCTGAACTCCTCATTCAAGTTACTGCTTTTTGTGTGAGCCCCCTTGCCTGCCTTAATGGGAGTGGATACGCACGCAGCCTCACCAAGCAGGCAGTGCCCCTGCCTTCCTGCGCCGCACATGCTATTGCTGCAGCACAAACTCACTTCTTGGTTTCTTTCAGCTTCTCCTCAGCACTTCTGTGTTATACCTGTAGTTTTTCTTAAAGTTACCACTTGTGACTGGCAGAGAGAATACTCTTGAAAACCATATTACTACTTTGTCCATTTTCCTAGCTCAATGCTGAAAAATGTGTTAAGTGGATGGAAGAATGCCTATGGAAAAGAGCATGCTTTAAATGAGGTCTCAGGTAACTGAAGTCAGTCTGATTCACATTTTGTGATCTTAGAGAAATATGTCTTGACAAAACCAAAAAGTTTCTGTCCTTTACTAAGCAGCAAGACAAGGAAGGGAGTCAAGTTAGCGAGAACAGACTACAAGTAGGGATTTTTTTAGCTGTGTCTGCTAATTAGCATGGGCGGCATGTGCATATAGATAAAGCGGGTGTGTAAATGGATGTACTTTTCTATAAGAAAGCTCCACAAACTCTTGCAGCTTTTCCAGTTGGAGCAGGTGTGGGAAGAGCTCACCTGAGTCTGAGTCGTCTGGGCTGACCGAGCTCAACAAGTCTTTCTCTTTTTCATAGTCACTTTTGCAGAGCAATTGCCCTTCCTTAAGAACAAATTCATCCCCTTTCCTCAGCTGTCGTTCGCAAACGCAGCAGCAGAAACAGCTTAAGTGGTAAACACACTCCAGGGCTCTCATCACAAATTCTGTTGGGGCGATCTTTTCCATGCAGCCACTGCACTTAGCAGCAAAGAGCCTGTAAAAGAGAGAGGCAGGAGAGTCAAAGGGAACACCAGACCATGCACTCCATGAATTTAAATATGACAAATTCTTTAATTTAACTACAGATCAGCTTGGCTCATGCCTTTGCACACTGGGAGACTTGCATCCTTAGTCTTGGAAACATCACAGGCATGCAATTTATTCAAATCTCAATCCCTTTGGTCTAGAGATTCTCAAATCACCTTTGCTGGATAAAAAAACCACTAAGGTTTGTCCTTATCTCACTGTTTTGTTCCTCTTCAAAATGAGAAACAAAAAGGAGCTCTCAGAGTTTGGATAACGTGTTCAAAACCAAATTTATTTTAATTCACCCTTTAGAGGAAGGACCAATTCATGCTTTGTTTTATACAGGCTCTCTGGTTTCAGCACTTAAACCCTATTCTGAACAGATTTCATGGCTTTCCATTTTTGGTATTGTCTGTCTCACAGGAGGCTGATAAATGAACACAGAAACAACCATGAAAACTTAGCGCTATTGCTGAGGAGAAGATGACACACACGCACGCAATCGCACACATGCGACTGATAAAGAGAGGAGTGAAATAACATGGCTTTTCTTCGGATGTTGAGTTATTCCAGAACAACCTGTCTCTGAAGGGAGTACTGTGCATTTTAAATGGTGTGAAACATCCTTTGGCAGAGATAGGCAGTGATACAATCTGCTAAATTACCACTATAATCACAGGCTCTAGAATATACACTGTATTCCAGTCTAGTTCTTATTAAACCTTTATAAACCCCTTCTTCATCCATCATTAATTTTCTGAGATAAAGTTAGAATGATTTAGATTAATTTTATTTTGCTTTTCTAATGGCGACTGGGAATCTCCCTAAGTGAGCTTTTAGGAAGAGGGCTGTTCAAATAAAGATGAATAGCTAAGTTACGTCCCTGCATCACACAGTGGGCCTGGTGATTTGAAATTCAGTGTCTTTTATGGCAATACATCAAAGTGCAAGGTGCATTAATATTTACATTTCGGCAATGAAATTAACACAACTGCACCCATGTGTTCACAGGAAAAAAGGAGATTCCGCCTTTTAGGATGGGGTATGCTAATTTTTTTTTTCATCCTCAAAATTATCACCTTTTTCATAAAAGGCGATTATCTTTGATTTTTAGAAGGCACGGGCTGTTGTAGTTACTGATTCCTCCAAAGCCTCCATTTTGTCTGAGCTGAGAAGTACAGCAAAATGGCAGTCACAGTTGCTCCTCAGCAAAATGACAGAGTCGCAGAACAGGCAGGAGGGAAAAGAAAATGTAAATACATTTGCATACGGCGTCCAGAGAAAGGCTGGGTGCCCAAGAGCTTGTGGGCTTTCCCCATTTGTATCTTTCGACCTAAAAAAAGAGATCCGGGCTATTAACCTTGCTGGCTCAGTGCGCACCTCCGCGTGACTGCAGCCACAAGGCCATGGCTCCGCGCGGCGCGAGCCACACAAGGTGGACCGAGTGGCTCTTTTCTGGGTACGTAGCGGATTAAATCTATGAAAGGGACACCGATGCCTCGCAGGACCCATGGCCGCCGCTAGTACCTAGGCCATCTTATTGCACACAGTCTGCTGGGTTTGTCTGCAAGGTTTTTGTTCTGTTAGACGCAAACTTTAACAGAAAGAGAGAAATATGACTTTATGTTCTGACTAGGAAACATCACAAAAATGTGACAACGCTTTAGCTAGCAAATTCCTAAGGAGGCAATACTTTTATCTATACACAGTAACATCTCTGAAAGGATTAAAACACCAGAGGAAAAAAAGAGCAAACAGATTTTAAGCACTTTCAGAAGTTGTTTCTATCTAACTCTTAGACCTGTTTGACTCGGTTTAATTAAGCTCGCATCTTTTGTCTGAAGGCTGTCGTTAGGACCGAGCACACAGAAAGACTCCGCGGATCAGCAGACGCGGTGCGGTGCGCT